TAGTGTGAACAAAAGATATGTATCTACAGTTATTTGTGAATAGCCATATTTAAGTAGCTATTCTGTGTTCAGTGAGATTAGATCTGGGTGTCACATTTTCCCTCTTTTCAGCATTTATTCTAATTAGGTTCTTATTTATGCTCTGTCCTAAATGCAACTGGCCAAAACTACATATATGTGCCACACACACTCTTTAAAGTAAACAATACCAATTTTTCATATTAAATGGATCACGTCTTGTCCAGTTGCTCTTAGGTACAAGCTACTTTTTATAAAGGAGTAAAGAGACAACTTCATCAGCTAAACCGTTTATTATCATCATTCTACACAACAAGCCTAGTCAAACTGGCAGCCAAGTGAATCGCCACTGCCCCACGAGAATATTGATGGTTGTATATTGCAGCAGCATTCGTGAAAGAACAGTGACCATCCACTTGACTTTAGTAAGCTGACCTTGGCTGCCAAAACTTACTGGACTTTGTGGTCGGGCCAAAGAGATGGTAGTTTTTCGCAGCAGCAGTATGGCTCCTGACACAATGTTCACTAAGGCTTGTCAGCCAGGTCACAAAATTTGGGGAAATAAACAAGGCAACACAAGAAAAAAAACAATAGATATTTTCTTATGCAAGCACGCAGTCGACTTAGGTAAGTTTCGCTTATCACAGTACATTCACCACAAAACAGCTAAGGTCATACATATTTATGATGAGACTAATATGGACACATTCGCGTTCAGTGATACGATCATTTATAAATAGAAATGATTACATTTAATCCTGAGTCACGAGCAAGACAATACAATGACAAAATCTATACAGTACACAAAATAAGGGATTCGTGTATCAAAGTCGTTTAGAGTTGTACTGCCACAAGATTTGGTCCACGGGTTGGAATCTAGGCCCGCAATACTAAAAGAAAATATCTATATGATGGTATATTTGGGCCATTTAGGAATATCACAGCTAGAAACTTCCGGGTCTGTTTTACTGGGTGCACAGGTGAACATCTCAGGGTAATGATGATGATGTCAAAACAAGACCAGAACGAAAGTTCCTACTGGGAAGTCCAGGACCGAACACCTTATGGCGCACAAGTCTTCCAAGGGCGGCTTCCGGTATCCTACTTATTGTGGACACCTGGAGCCGTTATAGTACACATAATCGAGAATCACTGACAAAAATATGACGATCATCAGTAAATAGTAAGTACAACTTCAGTTCCTTAAAAGGGTATTCTCCATAACAGGCGAGAGATTGGACACCAACCCCATCACCTGCTCATCTCAAGGGAGACAGGTCTCCATAATCGGCAATATACATTAACAGAAATTAACAAATAAAATTATATTTTCAACAATACAGTACTTAACTAAGAGTTTCCTATTAAAAAATTATAATAAAAATATTTCTGACATATTATTTTTTCTCTTCGTATTTGTCCATCCCGCGGTGCCAGACTTTGAAGAAGTATTCGTCTCTGTTCAGGAGGCGACCACGAGCATAAGAGTAGATATCGGCGTCCATGCCGGCCTCCCGCATCCAGGAGAGAGTCTCCGTCGTGGAGTAGGACAGTGAAGGCGCATTATCATCCTCAGGCAGCTCCGTGAAGTCTGCGCCAAGGACCAAGTACATTACAACTGGCTCGCTTTTCGATTTAGCAAATCTCAAGCAATCGGTTATGTTAGGCTTTGAAACATATCAGTCACTGTTGCGTCTGACTGAACATTGAAATTGAAGTGGATGTTGTTAATCATAAAGTTGCAGGAGTACTTTTTGGATTAAGGATGAGAGAGAAATGTAAATGAGAATACCAATGTTTAGCACCCACAGTTTAGTTACTTGATGCATCTTTATAATCTGTGTAAAGCATCCTGCCACTAACCATCTAACTAACATATATTCCATGTAGAAATTATACATAAAATCATGAGAGTACTCTTAGAAATGCATATGATCTTTAAAATTCATACATTCAGTCTGAATATACTGTTGTCAATCAGAGACATTCATCCACATCCCATTTATTTTTTTTACATAAGAAATCGAACTTTGTTAGCTGTTGATAAAAGCAACTGGGCAGGAAAGACGTGATTCACTTTTCTGTTATAGCAACCATTATTTGTTGTAAATTATGACATTCATAAGAAATGGTAATTTTGGCCTTTATTGCTAATAAGTAGTAGACAGGGATACAAGGAGAGCCTGGATGATGTGAAATAAAAAATACATTGTCTAAAGGAGTGAATATGATGGGTTAGAAGGTGGATGAAAATATGCATCAACAGATGAGATACAAGAGATACAGTTGGGATACCAAGGACACTAAGGACCATCAATAATCCTGTAAATTTGTTCTAACTGTCCTTGATATCTAGCTTTAAATGTTTTAAATAACAATTTTTATTAATGAGGAAAATATTATTAGAAAATGGCCTAAAAAGGCCAGCTCTTTTTATCATCAATAAAAATTTTGCTTTTTGCTATTGATTCTAAGAGAAATCATGATATTTTAAAAAACGGTATCACAACTGTTGTAGGAGTCAAGCACATAGAAGGAAAGGATAACAGAAATGTAAAGAGAAGTAATGATTGCAGAAACAATGTTGATTAAAGTCAGAAGTAAATGTAAAATGAAGGTATGTTAAGGAACATGCTAAATGAATGTAGAAAGAAATACTTGAATGTCTACAGTTTATAAGGAAAATATGACCTAAGAACATGTACTTACCAGCTGGCCGGATGACCTTCACAGGGTCTTCAGTTTCAAGAGGATCACTTGTGCCCACTTCATTACGAGCAAACACTCTGACATGGTACTCGTGTTCCTCCTGAAATAAATGTAAAAAGAATATTTGCAGATATTATTTTGTAGGAAAAGACTAGCTTTACTTTTAGTTATGCTAGTTGCAGATAGCAGAGTATTAGGAAGTATTTTTTATTAATTAATAATTTAATATCCATTATACATGAATGTCTTACATATTTACTGCAAAACCAAAAATAGAAGACTTGCATGTCATGCATTAGAATACTGCATATTAATTATTCATGAGTTAGAAATGACATAGCTTCAAAAAGTTAAATTTAAATTGCACCTTTGAACTAGTAAAAGCTAAAGTTGAGATAAAAAAGAAAAGTAGAGGACAGATTGACAAAAGTCTTTTCAGGCTTTCAAAGTTCAAACTAATACGAAATGTAGATGAAAGAAGGCACAAATTGTTACAATAGACAATTGAGTGGGAACCTATCTGAGACCAGAATCACTTTCTTAAGGATAACATTGGAATTCTTAAAACTCACCTGCAACTCTTTGATGTGTAACCTGGTGAAGTTGGCTCCAACTTGGCCTACTTCAATCCACATTGTTCTCTTGATGTCTCTAATGGCAATGATATATCCTAATAATGGAGCACCACCATCACTCTCAGGTGCTCCCCACTCAATCATGAGGCTATTGGGGCCTGTTGGACGAACTTCCAGTGGTGCAGTTGGTGGTGATGGTGGCACTAAAGAAGGAAAAAATGTCAGTGGTATCAGACACCAATTAACTTTACATAACATTCTCAACAAAGCTGGTTTGGTCTGTGTATATTTCAGGTTGGTATTATTGCAAATATTATTCTGGGGATTGACTTACTTGCATGGGTCTTAAGCCTGACTTGTTCTGTCATTGCAGCTTCTAGACTAAGACCTACTGGATTCTCAGCAAACACTCTGAATTCATATTCAGACTTTTCTTGTAAGTTCTCTACACAGTACAAAGTCACAGAGGCATCCACAGTGTCAACCCTCTCCCATTTCTTTTCTGAGATCAGTCTTCGTTCAATTACGTAACCTGTTGAGTTTGAAGAGTTAGTGTCTCTACATCAGTAATATAGCAGTCAAGAATTATTGATTTATTTTATAGGTATACAAGTAATTACTTATTTTCCATTTTCCCAAAAGGATCAATGGGAGGTTAAAGATGAAAAAAATATTAGTGTATCTTAAATCATGACAAAAATTTATATTTGAAGTAAGACCATGAATACAGTATATTTACTTACTGTGCTTTTGTTCATATGCTGATATATCAGTTTACCTTATGAGACTCAAAAAGTCTTTCACAGATTTAAAGTGCAGGTGTTTCTAATTTATAGTCAAAATATTTCTATATGTCTCAAACATTTATACTGTAAATTTGTCTGTGATACAAGGAAGATATATACCAATATATTCAAGATCTAAATAAATATCAGGTAAAGGCTATTTTATTAAGTTACATATCATGCGTTTCTTACCCATCAGGTCAGCTCCTCCTGTAGTAGTTGGAGGTGCCCAAGCAAGGGTCACAGTCTTGGTGGTAACATCTATCACTTGAAGGCTGTTGGGCTTTGATGGAGGAGCTATTTTGAAGAAAAAGTAAGTAATAATAAGAAACAGGTTAGTCAACAAGAGGAATGGCCTCAAGATATTAATATTAGAAGGCTGACAATGGAGCCACGTAATGTTACTAAATCTTTTTTTTTTTTTTTTTTTTTTACATTCACCATAAGTCTTTATTTAAGTTTTATATGAATGTCTGAAATAAGGTCTGGCAATTTAACTGAAATAGAAGTTAATTACTTTTGTAATATATCTTTTTATGATATAGTAAAATATCTTACATGGCAGAAGGGAGGATATCTCCCCACCAAAAAAAAAGAAAGAAAAAAAATTGAATACATTCCTGCAGTCACTAATTTTCAAAAGCACAAAAAACATGAAATAAAAATCTTTCCAAAGCAAAGCAAATATAAACACAAAAAATTAAGTAGTATCTAAAGGGGTAAAATCCACTCATTCATGATGCTTATATAATTCATCTCATAATGCTCACTAGCATGTTATTTAAATCATAGTGTTGTTTAATCATTATGGCTCCATAATAAACCTATGAAGATGTTAATTGAATTCATTATTCCTTATATTCATTGAAATTTTGAACAATGGTTAAAATTCAATTAAACTGATTTGATCACTGACCTCTTATGCCAAAAATTAAGGTTAATGAGGCCCATTTATATGGCATGACACCGTAACATTAAAAGAACAAGGAGGTAACTTGCCCAAATGGATCACCGGTTTTTGTATAGTGTCCCCATTTATGGTGTCGCTAGTTAGAATTAGAATGGCTGTTATGCATTGCCATGTATGTAAAGGTTATGAAACTGGATTAACATGAGAAAAACAGCACATTTCTGCATTCATGTTCATTCAAATTTGATAGCTCAGATAATGATTTTTATTGAACTACCAATAAAAGGTTACTAGAATTCTATCAGATTTCAAAGATGACTTTTGGCCACTACCTAAATAAATCCCATGAGTGAATCTACACATTGAAAGTTAAGCTGTGAGTATTCCTCACCAAGTGGCCCTGTTTTCCCAACAAGTATTATGAACATGCTGGAACTATACGCTCTTAAAGTTTACAAAATATTCATGGATGTCTTCTCATATATTCAAAGATTTCAGCACAATTATATTGTTAAGTACTGAGTGAATAGCAGAAATGGCAGATAGTAATTCTACTCACATGACAAATTTTGGTTATCTTGTTATGATAAGGTTCTTTTGTATATTACTTGCAGTTTCTAAAATGAGAGATACAAGCATGCTATGGAAATAGATTTTCCATAGTCATACTGGTCACAACATTATGATTGTTTGTATGATGATTTTCACGTCATATGTCAACTCCGAATCTAAAGAAAATATGGAATGGATGTGTAAAGCAGGTTAAGACTATGGTGTTAGACTTTGTAAACAGATGCTACTCTTTCTTTTCCCTAGGATGCAACATGCTTCACATCAGTATGGTGAGAGAAATTTCATGTTTTTTTGAACAGATATCCATATACTACATAATTAAACATAGCAAAGCAAGACATATTCACTGCAGACCTAAGACTATGAGAGGCAAATTATCTGCTAGTCAGATATTCACAAGCTGTCTAAAGCTATTGTATTTGTTTCCAATTGGTCCTATGTCTGCATGATTATGCATCTTGGTGACACACTTTAACTGAACAGATATGAATTTACAAAGAATATGTCTTATCAATGGTAACCATCCAAAGGGAAAAAAGTGAAAAAAAGAACTATAATAATTCACCAGCTTAGAGCTGCATGAGTACAGACAATATTGACATTTAGTCAAACCGGTTTACTCAAAGCTTCAACCTCGTCAAATCAGTCTAATATTGTCATATAAAAAAAAAAAACATTGTAGGATGGCAACCGAAAGATATGTTAAGTTGTGGAAAAAGTGAATATTGTTAGGTAGTCAGTATATTCTTTTGTCTGTTCACCAAAACAGTAGAAGGAATGCTGCAAAAGTCGTGTTGCTGTAACAAGTAGTAAACCAGAACATTAACATTAGTGTATATATAAGTATATGGAATGCAGATATGAAACTATAACTTAATATGTGTCAACTGGTAAATATGGTTTTGAGTGAGTCCTTTCCACTCACTACTAGTCTTCTGACTAGAGCCATCAACAGCAAAGTGTGCAAAAAGTAGTGACAGTGGAAGTAACCCATTACATTTTCATGCTTTGCCCAGGTCATGCTGCCTCTCTACGGCGGTGGTGCTGCCACGGGTCAGCTACAGTGTCCTTTGTTTGATGGCTTTGACGTCAAGCGTGACTTGTGACGTGCAACCAATGTAATGTATGGGGCTCGCGCCCTGCCGAAGATGATCGCATACTGGTATATTTTTTGTAGAAACTTCTTAGTATTGTTATGCTTTGGTCATTAGTATTAGAAGTAATAGGCTAAATTAAAATTTCAGCTAAGAACTGTGCTCTGTAGACAGACATGAGTTGTCAAGGAAGATATGGAAATGTTTGCAATGTATTTGTATCGGCAGAGCGTGTGCATGTATGTATGTATCCCCCCGGCTAGCTCCACGTGGGCAGTACCCCAGCCACGTGCTCTACTCACTGATCTTCTTGCCTGCTGTGATCGGCTCTTCAGGCTGTAGAGGAGGTCCTTGACCAACTGCATTGAATGCAAATACTCTGAAGCAGTAGCCAACACCTCTCTTCAGTCCTGTAACCTCCATCTGGGTGACATCTGCTAAGGTCTGGCCAACCTTTGTCCATGCTTTCTTGGTGGATTCACGTTTTTCCAGAATGTAGTGAGTGATAGGTGAGCCACCATCTGAGTCAGGCTCATCCCAGTGTAGTAAAATAGATGATTCAGTAATGTTGTTCACGTCGAAGGGACCAATTGGAGGACCTGGCTTGTCTGTTTGAATTGTAAAAGTAATTGAGGATTTTATTCAGAGTTTAGAAATAGAATAGTGAATATAAAGAATATAAAAATGATGAAAAAGAGAACTTACCAAATGGACTCTTGATGAGAATGGTTTCAGAAACCTCCAGAGAGTCAGAAATTCCAAAAGCATTGACAGCGAACACCCTGAACATGTATTCATGACCTTCAACCAGTTCAGTGACAACATATGTCCTCACGGAAGCGCCAACCTCTGCTACCTTCTGCCAGTGCTTCTGGGTCTTCTCAAGCTTTTCAATGTAGTAGGAAGTGATCTCCATACCTCCATCATAAGGTGAAGCTTCCCATGTTAGTCTCAGTGACGAGGAAGTCACTTCACTAACCCTGAGAGGACCCATTGGTGGAGCAGGGCGCTCTGTGAAAATTATGAATAGCATTAAAAACTGAACATAAAATGTTTTATCCACACAATCTTGTAAATAGTACACACAGTTTGTATTAATTTCTTCATATGTATATGTACCTGTATGACTGTCTGCATGTGGACGTATATATGCTCATGCATGGCAAATTAATATTTTTTTAGGGACCCTATAAATGATTTTAAGTGAATTATCAATACTACAAGCAGAATGTTTTATTTGCATTACTAATGAAAAGAAAAAGATAAACAGCTGATACAATCATAACAAACTAGATTCATATTTGGAGGCAGTTTCATGCTATGAATTTGCAACTCCACCAGTTTCATAATCAGAACTATGCCTTGATAAATTTATCAAAGGTTAAGCAAAAAAACAAAAATATATAAAGCATTCCAAAAGAACCAAATATAAAGAAACAGTGGTAAAATGAAGAACAAAACTCTGGAGACATCACTTCTTTTTTAGATTAAAGAAAAACTGTAAATAAATTATATGATAACACACAAGAAATAATAATAATTAAAACACCAAAGAAATGTATTATCAAAATCAATAAAATGTAAAGAAAACTGCATATGTAAGATGCTGTTGTGGTTATGATGTGATTAAATTAGGCATAGGCAGCATAGTGTGTTATGGTTTAAAGCGAGAACAACTTATTTAATGATTTTCCAATTTATTAATGATAAAAGACAGGTTTTATGTCAAACAGCTACGACAAAAACTTGTAGCATATAGTTAAAAGTGAGATGTTGCAAATTTCTATGTGAATCATGACTGGAATATATTAAAATATAATGAAAGGTATCAGGCTGTTATGTTAAAACTTGGGTAACGCAACACGAGAAACACTATATAAAGTGTTTAATATGCCATTTACCCCTTTTAACTTCTTCTTCAATAACCTCAAGAGCACATACTTGGGACTCCCTTTCCTCTTCTGCGTGATGAGGGCAAAGATGAGCAAGTTAAAAAAAACTCCAACTAAGATGAACTAAACATAACTTTATGAGAACTGAATGCTGATATAAACTGAATAAATTATTCAGCTTGCAATACACATATGAAGTGTTTTTTTTTTTGTTTTTTTTTTACCAAAAGCCAAGTGGTTATCTGAATATTTTGGCATACATCAATGCCTTTGTATCTAATCCAAAACTTACCAACAACTCTGAGATTAAAGCTCAGCTGAGATCGTCCAGCAGAATTTTCTGCTGTTAAGGTATACACAGCAGAATCTTCCATTGACAACTTCTGAATGGCAATATCTGTCATTCCCTCAGACTCTTCAGTGTGAATCACAATGCGCTGAGAGGACTGCAAAACCAAATAAACATTTATAAGTGTGCATAATTTCATATACATCAGATAAGTTTTTTTCCTCTAAAAATTAGTATATGTACATAATTTCAAAAAACAGTTTAGTTTTACTTTCATTGTAATTCTTGAACACTGATATACAACTACAGAGGATCTAATCAGTCAAAATGTCACCTTCTTAATAATATTTCATTTATTCTGTCATATATTAAAATATAATGTATTATGTCATAATTCACAATTTATTCTTGTAATAATGTCTGGATTAGGTGTAATTGAAAATAATCATCTTACCATGAGTGGTTGGTCATTACGAGACCAATTGATCCTGGGTCTTGGATAGCCAATGACCTGAATGGGGACATGCCATTTTTCACCCACGTGTAGACGTTGACACTGTTGTTTTTCATCATAATCAAATCTTGGTGCCTCTGAAGAATCATTATTATAAAGGGGACCTTTCTATAGTAAGCAATAATCTCTAATTATAAATATATATCTCAGAAGAAGTATTATAAGCTGTGGTAAATATGATGGAATATGTGAAATGTCTATTTAACAGCCAAAATGTCTAATAAGCTTAACTAACCTTGAATGACAACAGTAGCAGAACACTCTGCCATACCAGCTTCATTACTGGCACGGCAGGTGTACATGCCACCAGAATCTTCATTAGTCTGCTTGATTGTGAATGTGGCAGTGAAGTTTTCATACTTAGTAAAACCAGAAATAGCTTTGCCATCTTTGAGCCATTCAATTTTGGGTGCAGGTGTGGCTGTAACAACACAGCGGAGGATAACCTCTTGATGAAGGCCACTCACAACTGCCTGAAGTTGTTCCTTTACCATAGGAGGTTCAGCCCTCACTGGCTCAGAAACCTGTAGATGAATGTAACAGTTAATGAAAAGCTGATAAGGTAAAGTGTTTCAAATAATAAATGGTAACTTTCAAATAACTGAATCTTTACATAAAGATTACCCTAATATGTCTTATATTTTCAGTTTACATCTCAAATTAAGTAAACTACAGAATATTTATACTTTTTTACCTTGACAAATTCACAACTCCTAGAGACTTCAGAGGTTCCAATTTCATTGACAGCAGAAACCCTAAAGCTGTATTCCTCATCCTTAGTCAGATGCTGAACCACAACAGTGCTTTCAGTAACCTTATAGTCCTTGTTATACACAATCCATCTCTCCTCTCTCTTGGTCCTGAAATTCAAATGTTTCAAGAAATAAGAAAACACTAGAGAAAATATTAAGCTGACTTAGTTTCCTGATCAAATAAGTAGCAAAAAATTAACACTTTTCAAATAAGACAAGTAAGCAGATATTTGAACTCTAAATGGCAAAAACTGATAAATCTTGTCTTGTCCTTCTGTACATATTTTCCATTTTTTCAATTGAATACAAATTGAAAGGCATAAATCCTAATATTTTACCTATATTCAATTATGTAATTGATAATAACACGTCCACCATCCTCTTGGGGTATGGTCCAGTGCAGGGTTACAGAATCATTCGTAACTTTCATTGGCTCAGGACAACCAGGCGATGATGGCTTATCTGAAAGTTATATGATAACATGATTTGCTTATAAAATATAAAGAAATTTATGGTCCAAAAATATATTAGACTGATACTGATAGAAAAACACTTCTGAAAGAGACTCAGTAAAAAAGAATAATACTTACCAAGGATCTTAACAGTAAACTCAGCATATGCATCTCCACAGTCATTGCTCAACTTGAGCCTATATTCTCCACAGTCAATATTTTCTATCTGTTTTATAGTAATATTGGCCACATTCTCAGATATAGTTGGCAGGATCTGTAAACATTGATGATAAATAACATCATACAGTTCAATTTAAAAGCCATTATGATTTATATGTTAGTTCTGTGTAACCTGAGTACTGCAAAATAAAAATAAAAATGTAGGAACTTCTATTCTGGTGGTAACAAAAGCATACCTTTTGGCTCTTTGCAGTTTCTACAAGCTGACCCTTGTAGTACAAGGAGATCTTGGGAACTGGAGTAGCAGTAAAAGGCACAGTAAGAGTAGCATCTTTTCCCTTTGTGACAACAATTTCGGCCTTCTGGTGCTTTTTCTCGATCTTTGGAGCAGTTTCCATCACTATAGGATGACAAAAAAATAAAGGTAAGTTAAAGTCTTCTTAGCAAATTTAATACACAAAAATTGGACTGCATGCTATATCTTTCAGCAATTTTCTGGTAAATTACAATATAATATTACGAAATGTCATTAATACTAACGGACAACGTTAAGTCTGCAAGATGTCTTGAGGCTACCAAGGATGCAGGAATACTCAAACGCATCAACTTGAGTCACACTCTTTACAATTAAGATTCTCTTCATGCCTTCCTTCTTCATGATGTATTTGTCAGACTTTACAATCTCTTCAGTATTCCTAAAAAGAAAATATTCTGTATTATACAAAGTGTTTCATGAAATTGGGAAAAAGGTCTCTATGGGAGATGACCATATGATAATTGGGAAGCATATTATCACACTTTTTTTCCAAAGACTTACCTGTACCACTTAACATCATATTCCTTTGTGACTTCAACTACAAATGTAGCATCTGCCTTGTAATTCACATCCATCTGTGCTGGTAACCTCTTAGAAAAGTCTCCCTCTGCTTGCAGCTCAACCTATCAAATAATAATGAAAATATGAAAACATTCACTTGCAACCTTTCCTATTATTCAAAAGCCATTGTCTCTGTGGCAATGAAAATCAGTCATCATTCATGATCTGTCTTACTGACCTTAAGTGAGGCAGAACATTCACTCTTGCCCACAACCGCACGGTAAACACCACTGTCTTCAAGTTGACAGTTATACACCATCAGCCTCTGGATCTGTGGCATTTAAAACATTAGACAACAGTTAGGTTAGCCAGTGTCATAAGCAGTGTCACCTTTTTTGTTCGTAGTTATGACAGAATTGTTTCAATATAAACCACATAGTATTCAAGCAATTTAATAAACTTGTATTGTAATTCAATTCTTACCTTGCCATCAATGGAGAGTTGGTAATGATCAGAGAAGCGAATTTCTTTACCATCCTTGTACCAGGTAATGACAGCATCACCCTTTGTAAGTTCAACCTATGAAGTGTATATAAATGTTAATATCTGTAGTTTCATTATAAAGGCACCATTTACAATGTGTAATCGTAATGTAAGTCAATTCAGTGTTTGAATTATATTAGATACAGGACTGAACTACTTGTTGTACCTCCATGGTGGCTCTGCTGCCCTTTGAGACCACTTGGTCCTTCATCTTTTTAACAATCTCAGCAGGCAGTTCTCGTACAGTGAGCTCAGCAGTACATTCCTGGTCACCCAGTACACAAGTGTATTCACCCTCATCAGCCAAGGTGGCACTTGTAAGAATCAGTTTCTTCCTCTTGCCCTCACTGACTAGTTTAAAGCGATTTGTCTTGCTTGTGATCTCTTCACCATCCTGTTAAAATTGAAAGTTTAGGAATAAGTGATTATCAAACTGTTATGTACCATACACAGAATGCATGTCCTCATTTTCATGAATCTGCAGCCTTTCAGAAAATATAATGATATCTAACCTTGTGCCATGTAACAGTGGCCTTCTCACTGCTGACTTCGACCTGCAGGATGGCTTGTTCCCTTTCCTGGACCTCAACATCTTGAATCCTCTCAACAAAGTCATCAACACCTACAAACATAGTAATGTGTAGTAAACATATAGAGGAAATATATGATAATGTTCATATGGGAACTGGTGAATACTTCAATTATCAAAATGATGATTTTTTAATGAAATGTCTGATTTTTTTTTTTAATGAAATGTCAGAAAAAAAAAATTGGGAACCATTTTTTGAAACCAATATAGGTTGTATTTTTACCTTTGACAGTAAGGTTACAGAAAGTAGACTGGTTGTCAAATTTGCAGCTGTATTTGCCAGAATCAGTCATAGTAGCCGATTGAATGACCAAACGATGAGTAAGACCTTCTTGTTCAATGTGCATGGTCCTACTGCTCTTAAGTTCAGTGTTATCCTTGTACCAAGTACACTGAAAATAAGGGAAAAGTTATTTTCCTTCTAACAGATTAACCTACAAGATTACAGTGGCACAGGTTAATGAACTAAATATATGATTTTGTACTAAGTAGTAAAGATCAGAAAAAAAACCTTATAAAATATTTTGGTAGTCTTACCCGTTTTTCCTTAGAGGTGCGGCACTCCAGTATAACCTCAGAGTTCTCATCAACAACACATGACTCCAAACCACGTTTGAAGGTACTGTAAGTAAATGTTCATGAAATATAGTAGCTTAAGACTTTGTCATTGATGGTTGCTAGTTTTTGAAGTTTAATAACAATTACATCTTATATAATGATTGATATTAGGATATATTTCTGATATACAACTTAAGGCAAACATCAAAAATTGAATATTCTCAGTAATCAGTGCATGATCATCTACAAATAAAAATACAAAATTTGTTTTTAAAATTCTATATTTTTATGTAATCAAAAATATGTGGTAGTGTAGATGATATAAAAATGTAAAAAAGCTAAAAATTAAAGTAAGTTATACTTAAAAAAAGGCATTTGCAAGCAAAATATTGTAAGCTTGCTTACCATCTCCAGGTACAATTAATGAGGTTGGAAGCCTATACTTACACAACATCGACGCCCACTGTTATATTAGCTGAATGTGTGGCCTTGCCAACCTTATTGGTGGCTGTGCATGTATATTTCCCTGAATCTTCTTTAGGAGTGACATTACGTATCTCCAACACAGCCAGCTCCTCTTGGAAGGTCATTACAACATTCTTCTCCACCTTGAGCCTTTTGCCATTCCTGGAGTCAATGGCGTGGCAAAAGCAAAGTTAACTAATGCAGGTTGGTTTATCTTTTATCTTTTCTTTACTAGATGCATTAATTGAGATTTTAGGGAGGGTTCACACTTGTTTAGTTATTATGGTTGGGTTTAAAGTTTATTTATAATAATTGAAGGGGTAGCATAAAACAAAGAAAATAAAAATAACAATTTGATTGGAAGTAAACCAAATAATGGCAAGCAGGCACAACTGAGAAGAGGAAACTCATCATGAAATAAACATTTCAAGCAGAAATAAAAGAATAAAAAAGTGCAGGGGAGGTTTCAACTAGGATATTTAGATTTTGGCAAAAAATCCTTTGCCAAGTGAAGTCTGAATGCTGAGTGATTCTGTCAATTACTTTGGATGGAGTTTCTATAGTACAGTGACTCACCTGCTCCAGGTAACATCAGGTGCAGGGACACCACGAATCTTTGCAACAAGTCGAATTGTTCCCTCAGCCTCAACAGTCTGGTCTCCGAACTTCTCCTGGAAGGCAGGACCCTGAGGTGCCTGAGGAGAAAATTGTAATTGGAATATAGAATAAAGGCTTTTTTTTTTAATATTCAGTAGACTAAAAAAAAAGTAATCATTATCAGTCAAACACTATTAATACAGCATATTCAGTAGTGGAGTGTATAGTTATTCAGTCACAGCCAAAGCTAAACTTCAGAAAAATAAAAAACTATTTTAGAGTTTGTAACTTTTTTCAAACAAGATTTCTCATTTATTTCAAATTTATGTCTATATGGGGAAAAGTTTTTTAATATATCCCTTCTACTCAAGTAATTGAAATACAGAGATTTGGTTTTCAGAAATCATTATATATTGCATGTCAATAATTATTTCAGATATGGATCCAATAAGATGCCTAGCTAAGGAGATGCAATGATTTATGTACATTAATGTAATATTGAAAAATGTACGTGTTTAGGGAGAATGTTCAGTAATTGGCTGGTAGTCATATTTGAAGCTCATTAAATTTTATATCAAGACCAGGCAGATAAACCAAGTGGATATCAGCTCAAATCTGAAATTAAATGGTTGGTTTGCAAATCAGTTTGATAGTGTTCAGCTAAAGATTGTTAAATCAAATTCAAGCA